CCTTTTTGACTAGGTCGTAGGTTATATTATTAATTTCGTTCATCTGATCTTACTGATCATGAACGAGTACTAGAGGGATCACGTAGTAAATTATTGGAAATATTTTTTGAATTAAACTTTTTATGCGTAGTATAATCTAACAGTTACACATAATCTAATAGTTACTTCATATCTACATTATCATGTCTGCGATTATAACAAAGTATATTGTAGAGCATAAACTTAATAAAGAGATAAGCAATGATGAACTTAATCAGCATGCTCCAACTTTACTTGAGCTTTTGACAGATAAAGTGAAAAGAGATAAGGGTCGATAGCGCTTTCAAAAAGGGTATAATTTTAGCAAAGAGCAGGTATTTATATTAGTTTCTGATCAGAGAATTTGTCAAAATAGAAGTCGAATAACCCCCAAAGAAAGAGGGGATGAAGCAGGAAAGTTAATATATGCCAAGTATCTAACATAATCCCAGATGGAGAAACTGTCGAAATGATAGCTCAGCGAATTATCCAGAATAATCTTAGCGAAAAAGATGTAGTATCTATAGCTAAAGCCTTAGCTGAATCTGCCTTTAATGCTAGTGCTGATTCATCCTGAATCTCTAGGCTTTGAGGTGAGTTGCGAAACCTTGAAGCTTCTGAAAAAATTGTCTCAGCTATATTGATTCTAAAGATAACCTGTTCATCTAATAAAATTCAAAAGGAGCGTAAAGAGCAACGTGAAAATGAAGGAATAGATTTTCCTGATTACTTCTCGCTAGAATTAGTTAAGGAAAGATTGGATAGGTATAATGTGTCTAACACACCCAATGTGCAAGCTCTAGCCGATGTAATGATAATGCTTTGCGTCTGTCCTGCTGACATTAAAGACTTGCGTATTTCTAATGGAAGTGTAACTGGATATTCAAAAAACCGAGATCAACAGGATAATTTTCGGGTGTTTAGATCATTAAAAAGAAATAAAGAGCGGGTTAAACTTCTCCTTACTTGGATTCAGGATGCAATTTCTTCTGAATAGTTGAGGGATCCAGGAGTACGAGGAGTAAAATGGTTCAAAATATTTCTGAAAAAAATAGATTTATTCCTGAAATTGGTAAACCACTCCTTCCTAGCTATTTGCGTAAATTAAGAGCAGTATTTGCAGTCTTTTGAATAGTGCGAAAATTTTATCAGAGGCTATGACTATTGCTAGCCAAGCTCTTCGACATTCGCCTGACAACTATGCCTTCCCAACGCAAAACTATACTATAGTCAATTTTTGATTAAGAGGACAGCCTTATGATCAGGTAACGACATTTGAGTTTTTTGATGAAAAGTAATCATATATATGGATTAGATATCATTTATTAATTTATTTTTTCGCTCAAGATAAGATATAGCGTATATAATATATCACAAAAATGGTAACCGATCAAAAGCATTCATCTAATAGTACACCTAGCGAGCAGGAAGTTATCAGATATACAGAAAAATTAGTTTAGTTATTAAGACTAGATGTACAGATGCTATGAGATCGCATACAAAATACAAAAGTAAATAACGTGCTTTCTAGTGACAATAAAGATGTAGACAAACTACTTGCTATTGGATATGGTAATTGTAGTAAAAAATCCATAAATACTTCATCTGAGTCCAGTTTATCTGAATCATCTGATTCTGATATTGATAAAATAGTAAAGATGATTAAACATAAAAGGATTCAGGAAAAGATACGAGAACGTCAAGCCCAAATGGTAATGATCAAAAGCATCCATCTAATAGTACAGATATTGAGTAAGAAGATATCAGACGTACAGAAAAAATAGCCAAATTACTTGAACCTGAACAAAATGCAAATATGTATAGTATACTTTCTGTTAAAAATAGAATACTAAAGAAACAATTGGAAGATTATTATTCCCAACCTAACACTTTAGAAAGGAGGGTAAAATGATTGGAGAAAAATGTGAGATCCTTAAAAGACGAATTAAAAGTTCTAGATGAATGTGTGGATAGAAAAACTGTAGTCGGCTTAATACAAGAAATAGCTTTCTCACCAAAGATCAAAAAATGTAAGGGTTCCTCCTATTCATCTGAGTCTTCCGAAGATTCTGATTCAGTTGAGATAATTCAGGTAAGAGATAAAAAGATCATCTCTCATAAGTAATGAAGAAAGGCATGATGAAGCAAGGTTAAACAGTTTGTAGTTTGAAGTGATGAATTAGCCAATCAGACTAAGTGATGATATACACTATCATTCTAGGATACCAGATTATTCTCTAACGCTTGTGGATAGATTTATTTATTATTTTTAAATATTATATACCATAATAAAAAATGATGATTGTGAATTGTATAATCGAAGAAAATATCCCTATTGAGGCATCAATTGATATGTTCACTGATGTAAATTGCATTAGCCAAAAACATATTGGTGAATTAGGAATTACATATCATAGTGAAAGCAATAGCATTGTAACTTCGGATGCATCCTATTCCATATTAGGAAAGGTCAATCTGCATATTGGTTTTGAAGATAGCGAGAAGCATAAAAGCACACCCATTGAATTTATGGTTATTGGATTAGATTGGACAGGTCCTGGTTTAACCTTGGGAGATCCTTGGTTCTGAAAAAGTGGTATAACTTTGGATATATGCGATTCAAAACTATTATTAAACAATAATTTTGCGATCTTATTCAAAGAAGTAAACTATATTTTGACATTATCTGATAGTCAGATTTGAGCTATGACTGATTTTCCAATCAATATTCTGGAGCAGTAATCATCAGCTCAAAAGATTTTTTCTTATTGAAAGATATTCTAACTATATAAAAATGTATACAGTTAATTTACTAGAACAACTTCCGCCAGAACTAATACCATTTATTCTAAAGTATCTTCCAGAACGGGACCTAAAAAATTCTTGCAGTATAAATGATATATAGGAAAGAGAGGTGAATCATGTATTATCTGAGAGAATAAAATTTCAAATTTGGGGATTGGCTCAGGGTAATTATACAGTAAAGGAATTTATTTGAAGCTGAAAGAGTGTAATTTAAGCTATGATTATACAGAATGGTTTCTTAAAAATTAATTTCTCAAAGGATTATCACATGAGAATACGTTTAAAGTTCTTATAGATGGTTTACAGGTGCTTGCATTAGATGAGATAGTGGAAAAGCTTAGTCTGGAAAAGTAATCTACCAGCTTGGCTAATTTATTTTTTTGCTGATTAAAGATAAAATATAAAACACAAATCTATTATGAAAATAGATAGTGGCCTTAAGGTAAGAGATACACTTGATTGGATGGATCAAATAACCCCTCCAACTTCACTAGCGTTAAAACCTAAAAAGGCTAAAGATAGCCTAGTACCAATCCAAGATAACCAATTACTAAATGAATTTTTTGAGGCATTTAAGGAATATAAAGCATATACTTCATTATCAGGTCTGAACTTACATAAAGAGAGATAAAAAAAGGTTTCTTTAGAGGCCTTAATCAAGAGGCAAAGATCAAGTTTGCCTATATAGAACCTTCAGATCCTTTAGAAAGGTTATGTAAAATTTTAGTTAAATTGGATGTTTCACTTTATCTGAAATTGCAAATACTGACCAGATAATTTATTTTTTCGTTTGAAAATACAACATATAATACAGACTATTTATGATGCAATCAAGAATTTTTATTATACCAGAATTATTAGAACAGTTTTTACATTTCTTAGCGATAGATAAATCTTTCTATCCTACTTTATATGTTTCCTGATTGTAATACAAATGCGATACACCTATTTTGTGAAAGCGTATTGAGCTAAAGGGAAAAAACTTATATCCTGAACAATCTCTTCCAAATAATTATAATTACTGTGCAAAGGATTACCTTCGATTTAATAAATTCATAAGGATAGAATGTACAAAGAATCTCTTACAATTAAAAAAATTCATAAAGCTAGTACGTAGGAAGCAAATGCCGGTTTATTACTCAAGTGTAACTCATCTCGAAATATCATACTACCATTTACTTTCAAATAAAAAAATCATAAGCATTGTACATTTATGCCCAAATATAACCTATTTGAGTTTCATAAATAGCATAGGATTTAGTAATAGAGCATTAGAACTGATAGCGGGTTCATACCTGAATCTGAAGTATCTCAATCTGTGTGATAATCGGTCAGGTAGCTTTAGAAGCTTTTGTGCTCAAGAAGTGGATGATGAAGGTCTAACTGCAATCGCAGATTCATGTCATAAATTAGAATGTCTAAATATTTCTAATCGCACAGAGTTTTCTGAAATATTAATTTGTAATGTTATTCGTTCTTGCCCAAGACTCCAGCAATTTGACATTTCCTTTTGTGAAATTACTGATATGGCTATCAAAGAAGTTGCTAGATCATGTCTTAATTTAAAATATATTAATTTGAGAGAGTGTTATATTAGCAAAGAGGCTATGGATAAGCTAAATCCAAATACCCATGTCGATAATTACTGGGATCTGAATTATATTCAAGCTGAGATAGAACGAGTGATAGAGCAACTATTAAGACAGGCTCCAAATACTAATATTGGACCTCGGTTTCACTAGTCATTTCGACAACCTAATTCCAGTATATTTATGACAGTTGATTCTGGTGCTGATAACCCCATTATAGCTATAAACAGAGAAACACCAAGGAATTATTTTGAAAGAATACTAGCTGATCTACTGATCTAGCTAATCTGAAGCAGTGATCGCGTAATTTTATTTTTTCGATTAAAGATACAGCATATACTATTTATAGCGCATTCAAGTATTTTTATTATATCAGAACTATTAGAGCAGATTCTATATTTCCTAGCAGTAGATAAGACACTGTATCCTACTCTATTTGTATCCCAATTGTGATACAGATGCAGTGTTTTTATTCTATGGAAACACATTAAGCTAAAGGGGAATGACCTAAGATATGGGCATTATTTTCCAGAAGATTATAATTATTGTGCAAGAGATCATACTCAATGGGAAAGATTTGTAAAAGTAATGTGCGAAAAGCATAAGCCAGCTTATATCTCAAATACAACTCATCTAGAAATTACTTTTTACTATTCACTTTCAGATAAAAAAATAAAAAGCATTGTGAAAACATTTCCGAATATAATTCATTTAGATTTCAAAGATAGTATAGGTTTTAGCGATAAATCACTATTTGTAATAGCAGAATCATATTCTAATTTGAGATATATTAATTTGTGGGATGCTCAAATAACTGATAAAGGTTTATATGCAATTGTGCGATCATATTATAAATTAGAATATCTAAATATTTCTTACTGCAGAAATATTAGCAATAAATCTTTGTTTGAAATTGCAGGAAATTGTCATGACTTGCAAGAGTTTTATTTTGCTGAAGCATGTTGGATCACAGATAGATCTATAAGTTACATCTTAAACTCATGCCTAAATTTACGAAAACTTGATATTGTGTTTAGTCGTGGAGATATCAAAGATGCTAGTACTTTAATGCGAAGATGCTTCAATATAGAGTATCTTGACTTTAGTGGGGTTATGGCTTTGCAGAATGATGTATTAATTATAGCTATTATTAAACAATCTCTGAATTTAAGATATTTAGAGATCAGTCATAATAATATTGGTGATGAGATTATTGAAGCGTTGGCTTATACATATCATAAATTAGAGCATCTCAAGCTAGATAGTTGTTCATTTGTCAGTGAACTATCAATTTGTAATGTTATATGTTCCTACCCAAGACTCCAGCATCTCAAACTCAGATACTGTAATATTACCAGTACGACTATCAGAGAAATTGCTCGCTCATGTTTCAATTTAAAATTTCTAGATTTGGATGGATATGAAAATATTAGCAAAAAAGCCATGCATCAACTAAATCCAAATATTCATTTCGAAAATTTTGATGAAGAGTACTGCTTTAATTCAGAATCTTCAAGCTCTGGCTCTGAAACTGAATCAGATAATGAGGATGTCTATAGTAATAATGCATCTCTTCCTATGTTTATGAGTACGATTGATACTACAAAATGATTTTATTTCTGAACTTATTAATCAAAACAGTAATCACTAGCTCAAAAGAATTTGCTGATCCATGCATAGCGTCTGTCTCTTCATATTGATTGTCTGATTGATTTGTATGACAATAGATTTCTTATATATATCCAAATTCCATCTTTTTTTTCACTTTTAAAACTAATAAATCATGTCTACTATTGCAAGTAATCCTTCATTCGAAAAAGTAAAAGAATATAATACAGAACAACTTGTTACTTTTTATGAGGAAAAAACTTAAACCTTCGTGAGAATGTATTTACAACTCTTCTTTAACATTAAGTTGCTGGCCTTGACTTTCTCCATTGGACTATAGAAAAACTTCATAGTGAACCTTATAACTTTCCTGACGGACCTGCAATAAGACTTATGACGTTAGTTAATAATTTGAACAGCTAAAGTAAGTTCTGTTATGTACTGTAATAGTTTAATGTTTGTACACCTTGCGTGTTCAACAAACGTCTTTCTAGTTGTAGTATTTATCGTTCCTGTGATTTGCTTGTCATTCTGAATACTTTCTTATCTTTGTACTTTCTTTCTTACTTCTTATCAAACACCACTCAAAAAACTCATTCACGTTATTTTAGAATAGGGTAAGCACCACAACTGATTTGAATATACCTATATTACTTTTTGGAAAAGGAAATGCTAACTAGTATTCATCCGTTCATTAGAGATTTCAGTATTATGAAACGCTCGTATTTTGAGATTACACACGAGATCACAAAGATTCTGGACTATAGACTTAAGAAAATCAAAATTGTTGATTTATCTGTTCCAGGATGGTTTTCATGCTCAGGTAAGATGCCAAGTTAGATTGTAAGCTTTTAATACTAGCGATAAGGTCATTGCTTTATTTTTTAGCAATCTATACCGAAACGTATAAAAAAAAGATTGTTCATCAGTTAGGTGAAGAATTCACGCTTCCATTTACTATTACAAGTTTGAATTTGGCAAAAAGGAATAAAACTGGTTTGTTTAAGAAGAAATTTATTTCAGAAGCTCAGAGAGGAGAAAATTTTGTGCAAAAGCATTTTATCGATGAATGCACTGTTATTATAAGATCATTTGATGAAATACAATATGCTGTCCTTGATGTGCACAAATTTGCACTTTTGAATACATGGAAATCAGATTTTGTCATTTTGGATGAATAACACCCACTTGATCCTCTTAACGTTGTAATTGTTGGTGAGATCAGAGTGATTACTGCACAATATGGGAAATTCTCAGATGCAGATGTTGGCCATGCAACATCATTTGGCGAGAAACTTCTTCAGCTCAACCACGTCGAACGTATGTTTACATTCTTCTTACAGATTGCTGTGTGCTCATGATAATTTAAGTTAGCAAAGTTATTAATGATAGATTTCAATATAAATATACACGACTCGCAAAATTAGAATCAGATGATGGTGTACCAGCTGAAGGATGGAAGCAGTTAGTTACATTGTTGTCGCAAAAACCAGCAACACTTGGTTGGGTGGCATCACATGTATATCATAAAGGAGAGGAAATTAAGTTAATAAGATCAATTGGAGTAGGTAGAACAGCCGTTGTATATGAAGGCATTTATAATAGTAATGAGGTAGCCATCAAGGTATTAAAAGATGCCCAATTCCTTCAATGCTTTCAACTGAAAGTGGATGTAATGCAAAAATTAGCTTGCCTGAATTCAAGTACCCTTCTCAAAATCCTGATATTTCATTTTGAGGAAGATTCTAATTCCGGTGACAAAGGTTCGACATTTATCGTCTTGTCTCCTCTGTGCAAACAATTCAGAAATTGGAGAAAAGAGGATATACAGCACATTATTGGTACCTTGAAAAAGGTACACGATATGAATATAATACATCGTGATTTTCGGAAATGGAATCTGTTAAGAGATCAGGATGGTAACGTTCGTATAGCGGATTGGGGATTTGCGGTGAAGCTAATCAATCAACTGCTTTTGCTGGATCTTTGGAAACATTGCCGGATGATGCACTACAGAAGGTCATTGATGGAAAGGAAATCACATATACTCCTGGCATCGAGTTAATTTCAGTGGTACGATCTTTTTATTTACTGCTTTGTCGACCATCGTTGAAGCGCCTTCCATTTGGAGAAAATGACATCAAGGAGGGGGCAAAGATAATCAAGGAATTTTGGAGGTATAATGCACAGTCATCAATGTGGATGGATGAAAATACTAAAAACTGCTGGAGACGCTGATTACGACAATTTAATAACATTTTTAATGGAAATATTCTAAATTGGTCTTATTTTTTGTGTATACCGGAGTTATTCGGTAATTTTTTTTTTACATCAAAAATAGGTGGCAACTTGCGACTTTTTTTTATTATAATTTATTACATAGTTTTAGTTTGCATATTTGTTTTTTACAATCGAAACATAATAAAGTTTGCAGTGAATAAGTTGGATGTTAGGAAATTTTACGCACATATATTAATTTTATCTTTTTATGCCTTTTCTGTCATTGGTGCAATTTTAATAAAGAAATACATTTATTGTACAAAAATCATTTTTCTTGCTTATGATAATCCGTTAATCTGTTAATCGTATTTTCCTTTCAGCTGAGATCTTAGTTTTCATTACTTATCGTTGTGGAATGGACCTTATCCGCAATTTTATACAAATCATTTCTGTTGATAGGTAAAGCGGTGATATCAATTGACCGGATTTCTATCATATTTACCTCGTCTTCTCGCCGGAATCCTGCTCCTTACTGGATGAAATCTCATTCGAAACCAAAGAAAAAAAGGTTAGATGCTTTGCAAAAATACCCAGCAAAATAATTTTTTTTTTCGGCACGGCATCTCAATCGAAAACGAAAGTAGTAAAATTCGTGCAGTTATCGGAAAACACTTCCTGAATTTGCCTCACCGTATTTCCCATATCATAGCCGTAGCAAATATTTTCTTTCTCGAAATTTCTAGCATAAGGTATGATAAGGCCATGGGTTGTGCTTTATTATAGATCTCGCCAATCCAATGATCGGTTTGCCATTCAGTTAAAATCAGGATAATAGGTCATTATTAATTCATTGGTATCTTAATTATTCGGAAATTTATTTTTTTTAAAAAAAAAAGTTGTTACACAGTGATCTTTAATAAGGTTTCCGAAAATTAAACTTTGTCTGACAATATTAGCCAATTGCCATCGGAATTAATCTAAAAAAAAAAAAATAAGTACAAGAGAGGTTTATAATTATAAATTAATCATTCCTGTTTTATAGGAAAAGCGGAGAATTTCAATTGACCAGATTTTCATGATGCGATCATACGTAGCAATTCAATGGAGGATTAATTCCTGGATCGTGTGCATATGTACTGAAATTTGCGGAAAAAAGGGAGTATTTTTCCCCTCTTACATATATTCTAGTACCCCGTGAAGATCGAGAGGAATTCACCCGCTTTTTCACATAAACGTTCGAAACCAGAAAAAATAACCAAATAACAATGCCATAATACCATAAATCAAAGATTATAGGTTCTACTTACTGATTATCTTCTGAAATCTATGATTGAAGGGGGGGTTGATCCAGATTTTCGTGATGTGATCAAACTTGCCAATTCCAAGATCACACTGTGTATATCGCTACAAAACATATAAAAAGGAGGTAAGTTTCATCAGTTGATCTTTTTATCCCCTATGCCTAATTCAAACGAAAAACCAAACGAAAATTCTAATAAAATTTCAAACTTACCAAGAAGTATAGGTAAGTAAAATGGGAGTTCTTATTTTCGGTTCTACTACTTGCAGAATACTTACTCGATTTTTTTTTTTCAGGATTACTCTTGGTGAGAGCAATTGTATATAGTCTGTATTGGTGGGAATAGTTGGACAATTTCTATCGGAAATCTGGTAGTGGAATATGTGGGTGGGAAATTTAGTATTAGCATTAATAGGTAGAAAAAATAGCATTTGTTTTCAATAGCGAGCCCAAAGAATAGGGATGCACTTCGGCAGAGAATAATTTTCTTGGCAGGCCTTGGATCCGTTTCTTTGGAAACTTCTTCCCATGCAAGCCCGCGAATATATTTTATTTTTATTTCGTATCTATTCTAGTAATTGCCGAAGTGCTTAATATCAATGAATATAATAAAGTTTTCGCATGCATGACTTGTGCTCTAATATTTTAATCGTGTATGCTGTATTATAATAAAAAATATGTGTATGCTACAGTCGAAAAAATAATAGTGAATCGCAAAAGTATTTAAAGTTTTGAGTTTATTCAATGAGACCCAATTCTCGAAGATGTTCTGGAATAACTACCAAACATACCTTAGAACAATACAGTTTTCTTCGCACAACTCTTTCTTGAGTTGATCCCGTGCTTGTTGCTTGATAAAATTATTCGGGTCTCCTCTATGAAAGAATTCTATATATTTTTCGTGCTGTTCTCCTTGAACTTCAAACGCGAAACCATATTCTGAATGAAATATATCAAGTTGTAACCCTCGAGAGTATTTAGATGTTTTAAGAAATCCGACCAGCAATTTTCTGATGGTGGTCCAAGATAGTTAATTAAAATTTCACGGCATATATTTTCACGTTTATTTTGACAAAATGGACACCATGAGCCTTGATATTTTACATTAGCAAATGTGGCTGGCATCTTTATAACTGTCAGAAAGACAAATTCCATTGCGTTTCTGCGTCAAATTTTGCATATCCTCAATAGTCCGATTACGTCCAGCACATATGGGCACCATGAATCTCGATTTTTTACACTTTCAAGTATCCAACGGATGACCAAGTGAAACAAAAAATGATGATTCACCATCTTCACCACCCTCATCCTGGTAGAATTGAACTTTAAATACAAATAAATATTTTATTGTAATTATTTTAAATTAATCAACAAACCAACAAGACCTCGATCATAATGTTTGATTATAATTTGGAATTAATGGGTTTAGAAATCATACCTCCATCAACTACAATAGTAGCACCATTAGTAAAAGAACCAGCCTTACTAGATAAATAAATAACGGTACCAGCAATATCTTCAGCTGATCCAATTCTACCTAAAGGCGAAAATGATCTAATTAATTCGCCATGATCTTTTAATACTTTAGCTAACATTTTACTATGATAAGGTCCAGGTGCAATATTATTAAATGTAATTTGACGATTTGATAATTGTCCTGCCATCACTTTTGTTAAATGATGTAAAGCTGCTTTGGAAGCATAATATGCATATTTTTCTGCAAATGTTGTAACCACCAAACCACTTATTGATCCAATATTAATTACTCTCGCTGGATCTTTTGGTGATGCAGCTTTCTCAAGTAACGGTAAACATCTAATATAGAAAAAAAAATATTTTTTTTAAAATAATCGAAAAATAATATATGTATATGTAAACATCTTACGCTTGTGTTAAACTAAAAATTTTTTTAACGTTCAAATTCATAACTTCCTATTATTTAAAAATATAATTAGCTATTAATTAGCTTTACTTGAGAAAGATATATAACTTATTATAATAACCTCAAATGCCTCATCTGAATAAGAAGCAATAGGGGCAGACCAATAAACACCAGCATTATTAATTAAGACGTGTAGCTCTATTTAAATTAATATTTATTTAAAAAATAAATTTCTATTTGTATCCTAATAAAATTCATTCGAACTTACTTCCATCACGTTCTTTAATTTCATTGGCTAATCTTTGGACTTCATTTAATTGTTGTAAATCTGCTGGTATACTAACAGCTTTTCCTGGTCCTGATACAAATTTCAAAGAATTAACACGTGATCAATAATTGCTTTATAATAAAATTTTACCTTTAGCAGATAATTCTTTAGCAACCTTATCACAAGTATTTCTGCTTCTTGAAGAAATATAAACTTTTGCCCCATTAGCTATAAATCCTGTTGCTATCATAAGTCCAATCCTATTTAAAGAAATTAGAAATTTAATTTAAAAAAAAAGGAATTTTAAATTGATAAATTACCCTCTGGATCCTCCTGTAACCAATACAATTTTATCTTTAACATCAAATAATGAATTCAAATCCATTTCAAAAGAAATTTAAGAAACTGATTTTTGATGATTATACCGGATCGATATACCCGATACCACTTCAATTTAATAAAATTTTTATTTTTTAATTATCACAATACAGCGAAAATTTATCAAATGTATTAATTTCCAATTAACGCCATTGTACCCCCATTACCATGTAAAATACCCGGGTACTATAGAGCGTGCTTTTTTCAGACGTCATAAAAAAATGTCGCGTAATTTTTTTACTATGATTTTTATGAGGATATTTTTAACTTGCAATTTTTTTTAGGGATCTAAACTTAGTAAATTTCTTGTGTTGTTACGAGATAATTTATAACATCAATTTGGCGAAAAAGATATCTAAATTCATTATTTTTTTAAGGCATCAACCCATGTGCTCCTTTCACATTTTTGTTGTGTCGACATATGGATGTAGCTTGGTAAAAAACTGGTTAGCTGTTTCCTCTTGTATAGATACGACTAAGGGAATCTTGACCAGAATGATGCCATTTCTACTTAACTAGCTTTTTTTAAATTCTAACTCAAATATGCATAGAGGTTAATTGTTCTGTTTTTTATGTAAGCAATTACCCAAACATGTTTTCTCGTGGACGAGAGAAAGCTCGCTCTCTTTACATTTCATTTAATAAGACAGTGAAAGGATTGGATTGATATAATAAAAAAAGGTAAGTTGTTTATTTATATGACAATGAGTTTGAATTAAATATATATTTTTACAGAGTATATATAAGTATAAAGAGTTATCATATAGAGAAACAGTCAGAATCGAAACTTTAAGCGATAAGTTGGAAGTTGTACCAGAAACAAGATTGAATATAAAACCTTTAAGATTATTATATTTTTATTCGAGTTCTCCTATTTTGAAATTTATATCTAGCATTCTGTAATTGTTTCTTAGTTATGTAAAATAGAACAATAAAAATAGTAATGGTGATGATAAGATTGTTATTATTCTCCATAAATAATTAATAAGTTTTGCCCGATATGGTGGGTGTGTAACAAATTTGTTATCAGATTGATAATATTGATCAGATTGATCGAATTGTTAAATTTGATGATCTATCAAAGAGTGATCTGCTGTGATTTTATTACATTGTGTGTCGAGGTTTTGATCATGCGAATGATCGTCATTTGCTTAATATAAATTATCCTATACATCATATTACCGCGTTGTGCAAAATCTGGGGATAAAAACGCGAGTAATATAAAACAAGAGGCTAACTAACATACCACCAACATATCCAATTCCATCATTTTGGAAACCGACCAATAATCCTGCTGTTATGATCACTAGAGTAAAATTCCTTTTTGTCTCATCATCATCTTTAAGATCACGAGTGTTCATGAAATTTCGTGCTGCAGATGATAATTCCGCTCCAGAAACAAAGAGCATTATACCAATAATTGAATAAGGGAAGTAATTTAGAAGATTGGTTAAAGTTTTTCCAAATAATATCCCCAGGATTAATTTAAAAAATCCAAGGATCAAAACGCTAACTTCGGATCTTGCACCGAAACGATATTGTCCAGCCAATCCACCTGATCCATGACAATATGGGATAGAGCCGAAAAAACATCCAACGATGTTCATAATTCCGATGGAAACGGATATTTTTTCAACCGTATTCAATGAGGATCGTTCCGGGAACAAATCATTAGATAATGCCGCCAATGCGATAACAGAATTGAGAGTTGTCAGTGGAAGTTGTCCAAGAGATGCACTAAGAAATCCGGTTTTAAATTCTTCTAGGGTTGGGACAACAATTTCAGGATGATTAAATGAGATTGATGGTAATGTACTATTAGATACAAAGACCTTTATAATGGCAATTATTAGCCCAACGATGAATAAAATTAATGCCGTCGGCATTCTTTTAGATGAATAAAATGCAAATACGAATATGAAAGATAGAATAGCCCATTCATAATTATCATTCCATTTCCAAGAACTGCCACCCCAACTACCATTTTTTCGAATCATATCGGCAGCTTTTATGATTAGTGTCATGCCTGCTCCCAATTGAATACCTCTGATAATTGGAATGGGTGTCCACTTTTCGATGAATTTAATAGTTCTGGTGATGCCAAGAATAAATATCATAGCCCCAACACCAAGACCTGCCGACATGATTTCTCCTATAGATAAATTTGCCGAGATTGCCACCGCCGCAATAGCTATTATATATAGACTTGATTAATATATATTTTTTTAATTTAAAGAAATGATAAAAATAATGAAAAGAAATTCATTACCTTTCATAGGTTGAACACACATGGGGATTCGAAACATCAAACCGCTAAAGATATTCCATAGTCCTCCGAATATAAGCGAGGAAGTCAAAGAAATCTGTCCGGTGATTGAAAGAGCTAATAAGATTGGAAGTAAAGTGCCTAAATCTCCAAGACTACCACTTAATTCCGATAGAGAAGCATTCTTTTTTATATGTAATGTCCTCTCTTTGACGGATGAGCGAATATAGAGTAAAGGGTTTTTCCAAAAGGAAAAGCCGTGGTTCGAATTTGGAGATTCTATAATTTCGACGATTTCGTGAGAGGTCATGTTTGAAATATCGTCAGGAAATTTTTTGCGATCATTTTATCTTATCAGTTATCATTATTATCTTATCGTTATCAAAAAAAAATTTTTTTTTTTGTTACTTTTGATTTTATCTGTAAAAAAAACTTTTGCTGAATAAAAATAACCAACTAAAAGATAATTTTTTTTTTAGATTGATAATAAAACTGATCATTGATTTTCATGATCGGCGAGAATCCTATTAAACCCTATTAATAATAGACCTAAAAACTAACCTAAAATGTATTATTAGATTTCTCTAAAAAAACTTTAAATTGATATCCTTTATTTTTACATTTTTTATATTACATTTAATTCAAACCTATTTTGTATTAAATAGTGGCTCTCAAAAATATTGCATCATCCGAACACACAAATTTTAAAATAGCATTATCTTGTGATTAATAAAATTGGTTATTAGACTCATCATAACGAGTCTATTCAATGGTATAAAAAATCGTTGCGTAGTAATGATAAAAAAATTTTGTTTTTAATCATTTACGCGATCTTTTCTTATGTAAATAAAGAAATAAATTAACGCAATTATATTAAAACTTTGGTAAATAATTTTGTTACCATTTCGTATAACCACCATTAATTTTAATTATATTATTTATACGTATCAACAAACTTTTTGCATATGGATCCCAATTCTTGAATTGCCGATTCAAGACGTCTCAGATGATCAATTCAAAAGGTTTTCTATGGGATTTAAATAAGGAGAAAACTAGCCAATCAAGAACTTTAATGCTATTATCAAGCCATTGCTTTGTAAGTGTGTTTAGGATCATTATCCTGGAAAATAATATTATTCTTATTCATTCTATGCCACTCGATAAATCTTCCTTCAAAATTTGATGATATAAATCCCCATTCATATGTCCATAAATTCGACATATGGGGTGAGTGCTGGGAATAGGGACCAAATTGTAAAAAAAACTTTTTTAAAAATAATTAAAGTTCTGGATCAAATGATAAAAATTGTATCTATTTACTTGGAAATAAATTTTTGAAAAAAATTTCAATTTGATCCTTTTTCTCAGTTTTCTCAGCACTCACCCCATATGTTACCAACTCCGTAGTCATTGGGAATCAACAATAAAAATCGAAGAATTATTTAAAAATTACGAAAATTAAAATTTCAACCATAACCAAATGAAGATAGCGAAGAAATTTAATCTTCTTTGTGATCTTCAAAATAATAGACATTTTTTTTTTTTAATAAATTTATTTAAAAAAAACAAGGCGTCGGATCGTGAATAACCAAGGTCTGAAGGTCTGATACTGGTTTTCTGCTAAATCGAAACTTTTTTTTTGCTTTTTAAATGGTAGTGAAAATGATAGCAAAATATCAACAAATGAAGTATATGTAGGCAACATTGGTTAGAGGATTTATTTTTGAATAAATGCAATTCGTGCATGTGAAGTGCTGTGCTTGATAATTGGAATAAAAATTTGGTACAAACCAATTTTTTTTTGAAGGACCTGCCTTCAGGAAAAAAATGGTAGCCCGAGTCTCATGACTTAAGATTTTCGAGCGATTTTTTGTTTCTTGATAACATACTGTAAAGAGACATGCTGAAAACTTGTAATCATTTTGTTTATATGTAGAACTTCTTTTTTTTGTGCTGATGAGCTAACCAACAAAGCAAATTTTGCTAAATAAGTTTAAACATTCTTAGCAAATTACTTTATGCTTTTCATAGAATGAAGATTCTATTATTAGTTTTGTTTTTTCTTTCATAACGAAAAATAATCTAATTAATTAGATCGAGAAAAAAAAATTTTTTTTTCTCTTACATCTTTGGGAAACATATCCGAATATAAATTTTATTTAAAAAAGGCAATAAAGTAACTCCATAATGTAATTTGATTTCACTTCAAAAAAAAGTAATATACAAATGATTAAACATAACAATCGTTTGAAGGGCATATAGTAATCGAACTTTCATATGAATCGATATGATAATATTTATATATCAAATTTTTTTGATTTTTATGTTTAATCCCAAAAAAATCCCACTTATCACACCACCCGCTATAATTTATAATAGTTTTACCACTCATAAAGTGAAGACTAGACTACATGGTGAATCCGTCTACCTATCCGAAGACATGGTGAAAGAGTCTACCTATAACCATCGCCTTCCTCCACAAGAGGGAGTATAAACACTCACAGAAGTGAATGCAAACTAAGGAACAAACAGATGGATTCTATTCTTATTTATATTAAAAATGAAAATTTGTGAAATTGTGGGATTCAAAGATCTTCATGATCGAACACTAATTATGGAAATATATGGTTGATCATAATCAATAACGTGATTTAATAATTTTAATAGACAATCGTTTGTATATATTTGTAAAATTTATAACAAAGAAATAAAAAAATAAGATTGTTGGATTGCAAGTTGAAGTTTAAAATAGTGGAAAAATTTATTGATAATGTAGGAGAAATAGTTATATATGAATTAATCGAATCCAAACATGAACAAATAATTTATTAAAGTGGATTGATATCTATACTAAACTAATAAAATTTTTTAAAATTTAGTTAAATTTACTTAATTTTTCATCTTTAAATATAAAACTATCACAACAACTTTCATATTAATTTATATTTTAAATATGAAATAAAAAATAGAATCAAGAATATTTTTAATTATTAAATATAAATAATTCTTACTCTATTAAATCAGCAAACTTTTGAATGTTAATTGTAAAGTAATATAATATATTTAATTACATAATAATTAATGATAAATTAAAAACATTTATAGGTAGATTCTTTAGAAAAAATATATTAATAAAGAATTTTAAAAGAAAAAGTTAGACTCTTTATAATGTAAATATTTCAAAAAAATAATTATATATAATTGTAATATATGGTTTAATATTTATTATAAAACAATAGGTTATCAGATCAAAATTAGAAAAATTAGAAAAAAAATGGATTATAGAATTATAATTTGAAGATTTTAAAATATTTGATTCTGTAATAAAAAATTCTTAAATTAATATGTGATTAATTGAATTAATTTAGTATGATTATATTTTTGATGAAAGATTTTAGTAAATTAAAATATTTACAAAAAAGAATTTATGAAAAATTCTTAGATAAAATTAGAAATATTTCTTTGCTTCTTTAATCTGAAATTACTGCAATATTTATTTATTTTTCAATAAATCTATTTTTAATGGTATTAATCACATGTCTTTTAAAAGAATTCAAAACTAAAAGTGATTGAAAATTACTTAATAGATTATGTTAATTCTATATATTTTTAATCTACTATAACATTTCATTTTCATTTATACATCATTTTCATTTACGTAAATATTAATATATCTTGTGAAAAAAAAATTTTAAAATATTTTTAATTTAAAAATTAGGTTGAATCAATCCTGATAAGACTGTTTTTAAACTGGTTAATAGATCAGTATTTATAATCCTCAGTCTTAATTCTAAGGACCAGTCCAAACAAGTCTATATAATATATAGCATATAGCTATAAAATAATTAATTTATGAATAAGATTATGATATTATCCTTAGGTTTTAACTAAGGAATAAAACCATTCTTAGACTGATTATTTAATCTAATCACTGATCCTAAGATCCTTTTCATTTATAATATAGTTGAATCTCACTATAACAAATTTAAATAATAAATAACTAATTAATTAAAGTTACAATATTATGCTCGCTCTTAACCAAATATAGGTTAACCTATAACTATTGATTCTGAATATTATATAAAAATGACAAATTTTATTCAGGTTTTTTTAATAGAATTCAGAAAAAAATTTATAAAAAAAACTGAGTAAAAAAGGATAAGCAAAAATAATGGAAAAGATAAAGGAAAAAAAGACTAGTTAAAATTATGAAATATGAAAAAGAATGAAAATAATTGAAAAAGAAGTGATAATAATAGAAAAGAAAATAAGAAGCAGATTATTGAGAGTCATTTTGAGTTTCAAATTAAAAGAAATTGTTAGAAAGATGAATTAGTGATTCTAAAAACATAAATTTGAATTTATATTAAAATAATATTAAAATTAAACTAAATAAATTTCTTATCTTGATTTCTAACAGCCAATCTCATATGACTTTTTTTTTTTGAATCTGAAATGCTAAATAACATAAATATTAAATTTTAATAATAAATTTTTTCAATTAAATATCAATTAAAAAGTTTTATTATTTTAGCCTAATCTTTTCTAAAATGAGATTTATTTTTCAAAATCTTTTTTAATATATATTCACTTTTCTTTTGTGTTCTTATCAACATATAATTCAAATAACTAAAAAATTAAAATTATAAAATTATTATTGTAAATACAATTAATATAATATTATTATTCTTTTATTTATTAGTATTTTCTTTATCAGACCATTTGATAGTGATGGGCATTTTTAAAATTGTTAAATTGTTATTTGAGATAAATTTAAAAATTATCAATGTAAAAGATTGAACAATTAAAGAAGCAAAAATACAATAAAACTTTTCTTATATAAAATTGTATCAAAATATATCAGTATTCAATGAGTTAGCAAAATATCTAATTTTATGCAAAATTCAAAGAAATTATCTAATGTTTTAACAATTTTAAAATTTACATAGTTTTTACAATTGAAATTTTTGCAATTTTAAAATTTGCACAGTTTTTATAGTTTTGTAATTGCAATTTCAAATTTAAATTACAGAAATTAAATAAATTGAATCAACAAATTAATTACTACCGATTCAACTGATTAATCCTAGATTCAACATTAAGTAATCATTTTATTATAAAAATTCATTATATTCACTCGTATAATTTGCTATAACAAAAATTCAAAATATAGAAATTGTAATCACTAGACTAATCTGTGTGATAATAATTTATACAAATGTATTTCAACATTAACTCAAATTGTTTACAGTAGCAAATAAATTTTATTATGGATAATCAAGGTTACAAAAATCTTTTAAAAAATATTTT